GGGAGTACTCACCTCGACCCCTTCTCCCGGGGCACAAGGTTCCAAGCCGCTGAACAGCTGATGTCCGCTGTTCAGGCTGGCTCTGACGCCTTCCCAAGCGGACGGCTCCAAAAGAGCCGCCATCGGCGTGCCGTCCCACCGGAAGTCAGGTTTGTTCTATATCTAATCATTTAAGTATTCTAGGTCAAAGCCTATCTGGCACCTTTCACAGAAGCCACCTATTCTGATGGACTGAGTAATACATGAAGAGTGTTCCTATATTTTCAATATGATCCTGTTTATAATTACTCCAGTATCTCTCTTAGTGGGAATTATTTCCCAAGGATAAAACTTTAATCTTGTTGTGTCTTCTCTGCGTTTTGAGAACACTGCTCTGAATATTTAACCTGATATTCTTTCAATATTTATACCTGTAATAAATTAAAGTCCTGTTTGTATATCCATTTACCTTAACTTTGGTTTTGTTGACTTTTCAGCAAAGGCAATAGTACATTTCTGCAGAAGTGAAACTTGATCTTCTTAATAGTTATTGAGCCCTTCCAGAAAATACTTCCAGTAATGGTTTTAGTATAATATGTGACAGCAAGAACTGTAAGAATTAGGGGATGGCTGAATGAATTGTGATTATTTTGTTTTGGCATTTTATTGGATTCAACCATTTGATCATGCATCAAATGCTGCTGAGGTTTCAGAGTTCTTTTCCCCCCTGTTGTGTGTATATTAATTATAATGTATCTAGGAGCATTCTTTCTAAATCAGCATCTTGTTCTCTGTCTCTTGTAACAGCAATGCTTGTGATAAAGAAACATATATTGAAAGACCTGAATCAAAGAGCAAACTGACATGCTCTGTATGTTTCAAAGAGTTTAAAAGTTTACCAGCTCTAAATGGTCACATGAGGTCTCATGGAGGGATACGGGCATCTCCTATCTTCAGACAGGTATCACTGCTTGTGTATTTCTTTTTGAATATTTGGTCATCCCCTTTTGTAAAATTTGCTGCTTGCTTAACTATGTCTTTCTTTAAAAAAATATTCTCAAGCTTGCTATTGTCAAAAAAAAATGTCTTTTTCCAGCTTTGTTCCAAGTGTATTAATTCTCCATTGTTGTTGATCTGTTAACTGATGTTATATATAAGAAAAGAACTACATCTGGGCATAGGCTTTGGCTGACCTCCAGTTGAACAGGGTTCCTCACTGAGTATACTTCAATATCCTCTTTATTGGTCGAACAGTTTTTAAGTACAAGAATTTTTTCAATACAACTTTGTTTTTTCTGTTTCTTTCTGCCCAGTTTTCTTGTGTTCCTTTTGGACACAGGTTTCCAGTGAGGATATGTTTTCTAAAGGAGGAATCATGTTAAATTTTTTGCAGCAACAATACTTGAGACTGACTCATTTATTCCAAGGTAGCAGGAAATTACTCTAATCCCTGATAATAGTTCTTTTAAAATGGGTCTTTTAAAATGCCCTAAAATTCCCTGATGTTCATGCTGCCTATAAGTATTCTAGTGATCCATCCAGGCATTTGAAGTTGTGGGTGAAAGCCTTTAATTGTCTGTACAGGAGGATGGGGAGAACCTGCCACAGCAGCACCAGCAGGAACAGCTGCCCTCTGAAGCGGATAGCTTTGCGCCTATCGTCATGCCTGTGTCTGTCCCTGTAAAGGTTCTGTCGCCTGAGCCCAACAAGCAGGCCAGAGATGGCTGTGCCCCGGTCAAAGACAAGCCTGTCTCAGATGATGAGATGCCTGTCCTTGTGAGGATGATCTGTTCTCCTGCACATTCCCCTAACGCCATCAGCCCAAGTACCTCTTCTGTGAGTGTTCTCTTCTTGCCACTAACTGCCATAGGAGCCTAATAAATCCCTTTGCGTTACACCAGGGGTAGTCAACCTTGGCTCTTTTATGACTCGTGGACTTCAACTCCCAGAATTCCTGAGCCAGCTAAGCTGGCTCAGGAATTCTGGGAGTTGAAGTCCACGAGTCATAAAAGAGCCAAGGTTGACTACCCCTGCGTTACACCAATGCTTAAGGACTTCTCCAATTATTTCAAAGTCAGTGTTAATTATTCTTCTATAATGGTCCAAATTTTTCAAACACAATAGAAAACAACAAAGGGATTTGTTATCTTTAATGTTCTTTGTGCTTGCTTATTTTACTGTTGCAGCTGGCTGAGAGCCAGTTTGTTTTCTTCTTGAAATTGGTCTACTTGTGTGTTTGTGTGCATGCCCGTGCGCCCATGTATTTTGCCAGAGATTGTTTCCAGAGAATAAGTATTGTAAAAGGCTTGAGACTGATGCTTTCTTTTCCTCAGATAAGCATCACTTTTTCTTCAATAAATTACAGTTACAACTGTCTGCTGTCTTAAGTTTAAAATTTGTGTCATGAGGCATGCAAGTCCAGCATTTGCTACTTAAGATGGTGAAACTTAAGCAGCCCTGACCTTTGCCTTGGATCTCCCATGCCAGTCAGCTGCCAGTTTAAAATTTCCATTTGGGTACTCTGAGGGATTATGGAAATTTCATATTAGTAATTGCCCATAAAGGGCTTATCTTTATTGGTAAAGACCCTCTTGTGCATGGACTTCGTTCTGATAGCTTGGTTCTGATATCACACAAGTTTATCCAGAATTACATCATTCATTCCATCCTGCCTTAAGCATAGTCTTTTCTAGATTAGAAAGCAGTACAGTTTTATTGAATCCAGAAGAACAATTAAATAATCTCACAGAAGCAGAAATAATAATGCGTGATCTTGTCTACCATTGCGGGTTTTTTTCTTCATAATTCTTCTTTGGGAAACCGACGGGGAAGTGCAGTCTGAAACACTAGGAACAGACAGCAGAGGGTCTTTAAATTCTCTGCCCTTCCTAGAAGTGTTTACCCTGGCGAGTGTTTACCAGATCTCCAGTGCATTGGTTCTCTCCTTTTTTTGTTATGTAATTGAATAGCAGCTTCAGAGAGTAGTTTGGAAAGACACCTGTAAGGGGAAGGTCCTTTTGCACTACTTTCCTAAGAAAATTGAGCATGCACTCCAGGAAAGGACAGTTGTGGGGAATGATCTGAGAAGGAGCAACTCCTCCCCAGTATTAGATTCCATTAGGCCAACGTCTGACTTCCTAATGCAACTGCTTTTAAAATTGTAGGACAACTTTTTAACAGATTTTCTGGATCATACTTCACTTAAATAATGATTGATCATTATTTCTTGAAAATTAAATGGTGCCTTTGTCCAATCACCCTGTAAATTTGTTGTTTTATTTTTTATGTGTAAAGAGTTTTAGAAATACAATTTCACAACAACTAAAATATGGGTAATAGTAAAAAAAATAATTGCAGTCTATTAACAAAATAAACAGGAAGCAAAATCTGCAGCACTTATTTTTAAAAAGTGACATAAATGTAAATACAGGAAGTCATGCATCAGTAAGAAAGGCCTGACTACTTTTAATAATGAAAGTTTATTACAAAACTAAACCAGGGGATGAAGCTGTACAAGTTTAATAATAGTTTTATATTTTTCAGGCTGTGCTGATGTACCCAAAGAGTGGATCCCAGGTCAGCAGAAAGGTCTCTGGTTTACCACTGTCCATGCTAAGTTTAATTTGGTGAATGTGTCTCACCAACTGAAAAAATCACTCCCTCAATATATCATGAAAAAACTAGGACAAGATGGGAGGAATGTTATTATATTTTATTTATTTACTACTGTTGTATCCTGCCTTCTGCTAAGATGTAGGATCACTCCTTATTTTATCTTTGTAATCTTATGGTGCTAGTTGGGTCTGAGAGAAAGAGATTGCCTTAAATCATCCATAGTTAGGTCGGGATGTAGATTCCTAATCCAAAATTCCTAATCCAAAATTATTAAAGGTTTTCATGGTGGATTCATTAAAAAGAGGGGCAAGGATTAAAATGCAGCAGTGAAAATAAATAAATGTGACATTCCTATCAATGCCTCCCTTAGTAAATAGCAACTTAAAGACGGCTATTTAAAAGTTAAGCAATCTAGTCTTTTGAGTCAGGAAGTTCCATCATGAAGATAAAGCCATTCTCGAAGGTCTTTGTTCCCGTCACTGGTCTTCATACAGTTCTGGCATAAAAAAGTCCTCTCCAAAGGATCTTAAAATGCTGGCAGACTGTCATGAGAGGAATTAATTTAATTCCCAAATTCCTCTTTAAGCCCGATTCCCAATAGTAAAACGAGTAGATGTATTGCTCTGTTGAAGTCAGAATACAGCACCTGTAAGTTGAATCTTGAAAGATTCATTGTTTAGTCCACGTTTTCACGTTTCACTGAAAAATTGTATGATTGAATACACTCACTATTAAAATAACAACTTTTGTATTTTCAGGATCACAATAGAAAGCACCACCAAAGTATCACCAACTCTGAAGAAAATATCAAACCTTTTCAAGACAAGAAAAAATACCGTCACAGACCCGAACCACTCTTCATACCACCTCCCTCCTTCAGTCTCAGTGCATCTCTCTTAGGGGCTACTCTGTACCAAAGCCAACTTCGCTCTCCTCGTGTCTTAGGAGACCTTCTAATTGACAGGACTCATAATCCCCCACCTTATACACCACCTCCTATGCTTAGCCCCATACGGCAAGGATCTGGACTCTTCAGCAGCGTCATCATATCTTCTCATGGTATATCTCATCCCCAGCTGCCCCTTACTCCTCTGACACCCACTCCCCGGATTCTCCTCTGTCAATCTAGTAAGTATGTTGTATTGTAGTATAGATGTTGGTCACATAAGAACTAACAGTTTTATTCACTCGTGAATGATGATAATGTTGGCTTAAATTTATTCTGTTTGTACTTATAGTGTTCCTGCACATCTAGATATAATTACTTTGTTTCAGATGGGTTCAAGAAGAAATGCAGAGAATCAATGTATGCTGATTTGAGCTACTTCCTTTATCTCTAAAATGTGGCCCAGAAATTCCAGTCATAGCGGTCCTTGTTTAGTGACCACAATTCAGTCATTAAGCAAAGTGGTTGCTCAGTGAAACTGTGACTGTACTTATAAACTTACTTTAGCTTTGCTTTGCTTTGCTTTACAGACCTGTGAAGGTCATAAATGGAATGGTAGGTAATTAAGTTACTTTTTCAACACCGTGGACTTTCCATTTTTACTGGAATCTGTTGATGCAAAGAACCATGTCCTTGAAACTAGCAAATTTGACAGCATTGCTACACCACATGGAAACATTTTTTTTTAATTTCATCACTGCAGATACAAAAAATTTGCTTGCACTCTTGAATAATTGTCTTGGGAGTGTAAAAGGAAATAGTCTTACAAAGTAGCATACCATGCGAGGATCCTGTTAGTAATTGTTTTCAAAACAGTGTGGAAAGCATACAGTATGTAAAGGTACAATTAAATGTAAAAAGTAGATTTTATATGATCTGTTGGTCTGTTTAATAACGTAGTCTTTTTGGATTGGTACTGGCTCCCCAGAGTGACCTTCCAAACTCCCAACCCTTTCCAGTTATGGAGGAAAAGTCACAGTATCCCTAGCCAGGCCTTGACTCCACATATTTGGAGGGTATTTGATTGACAAATACCTTCATTAGAGCAGTTTTCTTATGACCTGATGACATTTCTTTCAAAACGGTGCCGAAAGGTCAACTGTATATAAATGGGTGCTCTATTATTAGGATGAGAAATATTCTTTATTTAGATATAATGTTGTTTTCTGTAAAGAAAGAAGGCAGATTTCAGAAACCTGGTTAGTTAGCAAAGACAGAAAAGGAAACCTGCTGAAAATTATATTATCATTTTTCTTGCAGATAGTATTGCTGGAAACAGTGTTCCTGTGACCCCAAGACCTGGAGAACAGACTATTGATATTGAACCGTAAGTCTTTTGTAGAGAGATGTAATATCCATGCAACACAAATGTTTTGGTTGGGGAGGGGGAGAGTGTGTGTTTCTTTTTAAAAAATGGTTGAGATATAAATCATTCCTGTGAGTCTTTCAGGTATTCCTGCATGTGCATCAAGACCTCTTATCTTGTTTATGCTCAACTTGTTACATTGGTAGTTACTTTTAAATGGTTTTCAGAGCAACATATTTAAGTATTATAAAAGTGCAGTCCTGAATTAAACCATGAACTATGACCTCAGATGTTGGTCATCAGTGGCATATTGGGAAATGAGAGCTCAACCTGGCTCTGGGTCCTCATTTTACTGACCTCAGAAGGATGGAAGGCTGAGTCAACCTTGAGCCCGCAGAGTCAGCCTGCAATACTGCATTCTAACCACTGTGCCACTACAGCAATTGGTTGTTCCAGAGGGCAGATACCATGGCAAACAGCCTCATCTCTTAGGACCTGTCAGATGGAACTCTTTTGTACATGGGACCTACAACATTTCTCCTGCCAGACTTAATGGGGCAGGTAAATGTAATCAGGAAGAGGTGGTCCTTCAAATAAGTCATATTGTTCATTCACGATCAGAAGGTGATGCCCTTGACAGACTGTTTTCCTGGATCCTTTTTGGATGGTTTTGATGAAGAACACAGTATGTCGTCTATTCAGCTTGATTCTGTAAGGAAACAAACCACTTTATATGAAGTTTCTGCTTCACTTCTGCTTTCTGCCTTAATGTGTTTTTTGCTATACAAGTGACATTTTTTCCCTGCCATTATTTTCTTCCTAAGTCCTTCTCTTTAGGCTTCTCTGAGGAGGAAGACTTAGGAAGGCTCTGCAGTAGACTTCCATTTTTAATGCTTTAAATATTTTTATTTCTTTGAGGTGTATCAACATTGGCTCAAGTTTCCAGGCAAATATCCCTGAACTTAAAGATATAGCATTGGTGGAAAAGGAGGATCACAAAGCAACTTTAGTTTGGAAACCATGGCCAGAACTGGAGGACAAAACATTTGAACAAAGAGGTACTATATTTTTATACTACCTACAAGAGTGAATTTTTGCTTTGCTATGTTTTATATATATCTCCACCGACTCACCAAGATTACTTTGGGTAGTTAATAGGGATTAATCCCAACTCATAGTTTGAAATAAAAAAATGAGTATTTTCAGAATTGCTGTCTCTTCGTTTTAAAATTTTAGATTTTTAGATTTTCTTCGTACTTTACTGCAAAAAACAGACTTGAATCAAGTCTATGTTCAGTAGATTCTACTGTTAAAGAATGGGAGAAAATAACAGTTTACTCTGATCTCCTCCTACACTCATAATTTCTGGTGGTTAATGTCAGACACCAGAGGAGGAAAGAGAATCAAGGAAAAATGGTTTATTTATCCATTTGCTTTAGAAACAAGTTTCTGTTAGATCCATCTCAAACAGAAAAGACCCTTGGATACTTGGACCTGACACATAATATAACATAAAAATCTCCATTGTACATTGAATCCTACATTGTTTATGTAAATTCTTCATTGGGCTGTCCTTGTACTCCATAAATTAGTTTTCTTCAAAAGACTCTATTCACTAAGAAATAAGTTCTGTGAAATAATTTCTATACAGTTTTCTTGAAGTCTTTACATCTACATCCCTTGCAATATTTTGTAATGGGAATTAACACTCATTTTCACACATGCTGTTGTGTACATATTCATACATACAGAGAAATACATAGGAATAAATAAAAAGAAGGTACAAAAAGAAAAAGAATCTCTTACAGATCTCTTGAAGTGGTATAAATCACAAAAATGCTAATTTCCCCTTTAGCCTGTTTTAAGAACTGTGTGAGAAAACAACAGACTTTATTTGCTTGACCTTCTTTTTCATTTTAATATAAATGTATTGGTTCCCTGATAATTAAGTTAACTGTATGTATTTTTAAAAACTGATATACCACAGGACAATAGAATTCATAATTATATAGCAGTGCACAAAATGTGTGTGGGTTTTTTATTTGTGAGGTCTGCATCCTTGCTTTAAAATTATTACAAATGCTTCAGAAAGCTTCCAGGTTCCATTTTAGCTCTTCTGGCTTAGGAATATGACTCTCTTATCCTCTTGCCTTCATACACAAATCTACTTCACAAACTGCACATTTCTACTATGTATGCTTTCTTGGTTTATCATTCGACTTGGCTGATTTGTAGTGTGACAATTAATTGCTTTCCTAAACTGGTACTTAATCTTAAAATCATACTATATAAGAAGGGAGCTGAGAATCATCAGTCCTCAGTGCAGAAATCCAACACCAGAACATCCCTGGCAGGTGACCATTCATCTTTTGTTTAAACATCTCCAACAAAGGAGACTTCACAATTTCAATGAGGAATGTGTTTCATATCCAGCATAAGTCTGAAAGCTCAGAAGACTAAACCTCTGGTCCCGGTGACCAACCCAGATTGGTTCTTGATCTTTCCATCCATCTAAAACTCAGAATGCCTGTGCTGCCCAGTCTGAAAATGGCCCATGGGAGGCAATCATGACTGCACTAATCATTAGGAAATATTTTCTGATTCTTGCCAAAATCTGCTTTCTTGTAATCCTTTGGGATTTTCTGTCCTATCTTCTGGAACAATTCTGAACCATTCTGTCTGCCTCCTACATGACAGCCAACAGTTGAAACTAGCTGCCCTACCTCCCCATTCTTTTTCCAACTGGGTGTCTTTCCAACAGATGTACCTTTATTTAATTGCCCTTTGCTGCAAGTTGGGAAGCACCGGTGTAAACAAGGAACTTATAACTTCTTTTACATCTTGTTCAATCTTCTGCTATTTTGATACTTGATCTATTTCACCATTACCTGATTTTGTTTTTATTTTTAAAAAGTAATATTTTCCACATATGTTCATCTACCCCTTTTAAGCCGATTAATGCTGTTCCAAGGATGTGTATTTCTGCATTTGAGGTGATTAAGTGGAGTGTGTGAATGTTTTGGCTTTCCATGCTTACATTAAATCCAGGGGGCAACATTCAAAGGGAACCCTTCCCATTTTCAGATTGCAATGCATGGACAACCTGTAAACTTCAGGGTGATATTCAATGGAAAAGTGTCCTTCACGCACCTCCCCACCTCCCCCCAACAACAAAGCAAATTAAAAACCACCACAGGGAAAATTTCAAAAGAATAGAAAAACAATCACATCTGGAGGAGGAGAAATCTCAGCAAGTAATTAAAATAAACTACCTCCTATTGTGCCCCAGCTGTATTAAAATAGGAACTCATACTTGTTAGAATTAGTCTTTACATTGGCTTTATGCATTTTTCTTAATGTTGCTGCACTCAGCAGCTGAATTGTTTAACAAAATTAATTTTGTTTTCTTATTACAGTGACCAATCTCTTAAATATGTGCTGCTCGAGCATATTAACTGGTGGAGGAACCAACATAGAATATGGTTTGCATTCTCTCTTTGAAGCTAAAGGGAATATTATGGTAGGTTACAGAACATGTTAAAAATAGTAACAGATTTCGTGAAGTAATTGGACAGAAAGAAAATGTTTGAATAACTAATTGTGAAATAGTCTCCCTTGCCATTAATGAGATTTTTCTTTCTTTAGTGCAACTTCTGAATAATTTCTAATAGGGTGCTTTATTTTAAAAACCCACATCCAGTTTTTTTTTAAAGTCTATGGCTGCAAATGTCTAGTAACTAATACAATATCTAATGTTTTATGTTCACTCAGAAATAAATTCCAGTTCCATTCCATTCCAAGCTGTTCAAAGGACTGCAACTTAAGCAAGAAACAACCTAGGTCAACAAGTCACTGCATAAATGAGTCCAGCAAGGGCTCTGCAGTCTTAAAATGCAGCGTATCATAGGCAAAGTACATTGGAAAATTGGAAATGTATTAACTGTTATTAAAAGAATAGGTATAATTCTAATAATTGCAAACCACATACAATCCTGATTTGCTTTGTCTCTGTTAATATTGCAGGCTGCTCTGGAGATGCTGCTCCTTTTGAAACCAAAAAGAGCAAAATCACATCCTCTAGCCAATTATCATTATGCTGGTAAGTCTAAAACAGGTTTGTAAAGAGAGCCTGCCAGTTCCACATGGGAGCTTTTATCAGGACAGGTGCTGTTGGCTGAGCACTGAGAAAGAAAGTCACTCATTTGATAGTAAAAATGTAATGCTTCTCACCTGTTCCATTTACTTCAGGTTCAGACCAGTGGACACCATTTGAAAGAAAATCGTTCAGTAAAGCACTGGCAACATATGGCAAAGATTTCATTTTTGTACAAAAAGTGGTGAGCTGTTCCTCTCTCTTGTTTTCATGGCATTTTTGATCTTCTGGATACCACTTATTTATTCGCTAGACCAGTGGCCCGCAACCTTTTGGGCACCAGGGACCACTTCCATGGAGAAAGGTTTTTCCTTGGACTGGAGGGGCCGTGGTTTTGCATGCTGCCTGCATCCCGTGGATGGGGCTTTGCTTGTTTGCACGGCCCAGTTGCTGGCATGCCATGGACCGGTGCCAGTCCATGGACCAGGGGTTGGGGATCTCTGCATTAGACTAATTCCAGCAGGCATGGTTTATAAATGAAAGTCTGTATGTTTAAATTTAGAACAAATAAGAATTTGTTCTTATTTTTAAAACACATGACAGTTTGATCATAAATTAATTCTATGAATTGGAGTGAAATACTGTATATATCAGATTGTGAAGACTGGGTTCTAGTCTCCTGCTTATCTTTGAAGTTCACTGTTTGATTTTCAACAATTTACTCTCTGTCAAAGTTTAAAGTTTAATCTGTTTCAAAAGAGGAATTTGCCCGTGTTTAAAATGATTTAACCCTCACGCATCTTAGTAAGATCCAAAACCAAGTTTACATTTTTGGTACTGCTTCAAAGTTTTGAAATTGTGATAAAGTATACAGTATTAATGAATATATCTGAGAATTATTTGCAGTGAGTGTGCTGCATATTAATGTTGTACGTTAGCTGATAATGTGTTGATGCAGAATCTGAATTATTGTATGATTATAGGTGAAGTCTAAGACAGTCGCGCAGTGTGTTGAATACTATTATACGTGGAAGAAAATCATGCATTTAGGACGACGGCACAGAACTCGGCAGGCAGAAGTAAAAACTGAATGCCCAGTAAGCCTCACTTCCTTTAGTTTTGAAGTACATAAAATTGCATTCTCCAGATATTGATATTAATATATTTGATTATTAGTTCTCTCACTTGTGAGAAGAAACATTTCAGTAAGATAGTTTTATATATATATATAGTCCATGCTACAAGAATGTAGATTATTTTATTCTAAAATATTGATTGCAGCTCTTAGCAAGCACCACAGTAGTATAGAGCTTTTCTGTGTATAGAGATTGGTGTTACTGCTTCTAGTTTCTAAATTCCCAACATTTTCTTGGGAGAGCCATACTTGCATGATAGACTGCCTTATATATCCAGAAGAAACCTGTAACCTCTAGTTTTATAGAATCAGGAAGCAACTGATATGAAATAATTCTATTTAAGAGCCATTGCCAATTGGAATAGTATTAAGATATATGAATAAGAAATTGAATTTCCTATAAAGCAGCTTACCTTGATTCTTCCAGTGCAGAGAAGTTACCTTTCTATATAACATAGAGGTTTTAGAGCAATAAAAGGAACTTGAAAGTACCTCGCCATATTTAATTACTCTGAATAATACATTCTGTGAGGAATAATGATGTCAATTAATTTTCTCTCTAATTAAATATAGTTTTCGAACCCGTTCTCACACCTCCAAAACAGATTTTAAAAAAATCAGAGCTGGAGAAGATTTGTCTTTATTTAGTAATTAATAATATTAGATCTACCTGTTGGACTTGAAACAAAGTACAGGTAGTTCTTGACTCTGAGTCCACAACTGAGCCCAAAATTTATGTTGCTAAACAAGACAGTTGTTAAGTGAGTTTTGCCCCATTTTATAACTTTTCTTGCCACAGTTGTTAAGCGAATCACTGCAGTTATTAAGTTAGTAACACAATTGTTAAATGAATCTGGCTTCCTCATTGACTTTGCTTGTCAGAAGGTTGAAAAAGGTGATCACATGAACCTGGGATATGGCAACCATCATAAATATGAGTCAGTTGCCAAGCATATGAATTTTGATCACATGACCATGGGGATGCTACAAAGGTCATAAGTGTGAAAAGCGGTCACGTGTCACTTAATTTTGAACCGTCGCTAAAACGAACTGTTGTAAGTCAAGATTACCTGTAGGTACATGTGAGCTACTTCAATCCTTTACAATTTCCTTGTATAGGCAGAGTTTCTTATACAGTTATTCCACTATCACCTAGCATGTCTTTGAATTTTAGACAAGTGGTGAAGATGAGGAGATGGAAGGTGAAGAGCAAACTGAGGAAGAAAAAGCATCTGTAAAAGAAGAGGATACAGAAATTCAGAATTCCCCTGACCCACCATCTATTGCTGTTGCATCACCCATTAACTCACCCTCTCTGCAAAGCCTTGGTCTACCTGCGACTTCTTTTATCTGTGAAATGCCAGACTGTGGGGCTGTAAGTGCAATTTTAATACATCAATGCACACATAAAGTCACAAAAGAAAAAGACCTATAAATAGAAATGAATCAACTGTGGCTAAAGAAAACAGTGATAGCACAAATAGTAATAGGTGCCTTGGATGCAATCCCAAAACATCTGGAGTACCAGTTGAACACCATGGGCATTGACAAAATCACCATCAGTCAATTAACAAAAGTCAGCTTTTCTTGGAGCAGCTTACATACTGCAATGATAAATATAATGCCATCATCTGCCTATCCTAGGTCCTTGGGAAAGGCTTGATAAGTAGATAAAATTGCCAAATCTGGACTAAACATTTGGTTGACTGCAACTAATCGTTGTTGTTAATTGTTGTTAATTGCGAAGTCATGTCCAACCCATCGCGATCCCATGGACAACGTTCCTCCAGGTCTTCCTGTCCTCTACCATCTTCTGTAGTCCATTTAAGTTCATGCCTACTGCTTCAGTGACTCCATCCAGCCACCTCATTCTCTGTCGTCCCATTCTTCTATTGCCCTCAATCTTTCCCAGCATTAGGCTCTTCTCCAGTGAGTCCTTCCTTCTCATTAGGTGGCCAAAGTATTTGAGTTTCAACTTCAGGATCTGGCCTTCTAAAGAGCAGTCGGGGTTGATCTCTTCTAGGACTGACCGGTTTGAACGCCTTGCAGTCCAAGGGACTCGCAGGAGTCTTCTCCAGCACCA